CACAATTTGAGTTGAATTACTGAAATAAATGAACTTTTCCACGACATTCTAATTTATTGAGATGCACCTGTATATCTTCTTGCGGTATAAACGGTAAAGAGAGAACTCTACATTTTTCTATCATTCTGCGATAAATGCCTTCATACAACCCAGTCCTAATTGGTCGTTTCATTTTTTTCCCTTTCTTTGTAGTTACCAGTTCTGTATAGCTGTGATAATATAATATCTCTAAAACAAAGTTTTATTTTGTGTATAACACGTCTTTGTGTGAAATGCCTTTGAATTAGTTTAGTTTCTTCTCTTTTAAGAGTGAGTTTTCTTGGTTTTTGGTTGCTGTGTTGTTTTGTGTATATATATAATATTTTTATTATAATAAAAATATAATTTATGGTAACTGTAATAAAGCTGATGTGAAAAAAAATGCTGAAATAAGTTTAAGTATACTAAAATTACAAAATTAAATTTTAAATGAAAACTGAAAATATAAAATGAATAAAAATGAGATTGTGACAACTATAATGGCAACTAATATCAACTATAAATATATTATTTTTCATTCATTTCCTTAAAAGGGCTGATAAAAAAAATAGTTCTGTTTAATTAAAAATACAATTCAAGTAAAAGTTTAAATAAAAATATTATTAACCAATACTTGGAGGTGAAACATTTATTTATTTAATTACTTCTTTCTTACTTATTTGTATGTCCATTTTAGTTTATTTTATTTCATTTCATTTTATTTGTTTCTTATCTTGAATATGCCCCAATATGTAGGCCGTAGATAGAAAGCTCATGAGATTTTGGAATGGAGTTATTATATAAATATGTTTATAGTGCAGAGATCGGCTACATCAGATGATCCCGTCTCGCTTCAGACCGTACTAACACGTGTCTCTCTGTGTGTCTGTTTTTCTGCTGTAGGGTCTCAGAGGATCAGTGACAGCGAGTTCTCAGACTATGACTGTGAGGATGGTGTTGGCGTCCTATCAGGTAAAATGTTAGCAGGAACACGGTGAAAATGACACCCTCTGACAGAGGTGATGAAGACATTTACTGCTAAATTTGTTCAATGTGAAGTCTTTGCATTTGAAGACAAACTTCTCACAGAACCATGTTAATTTCCAAATGATGATAACTGGACGCATGTGATGAGGTCATGTGAAAAAAAAAATGTGTACCGTTTTACGCATTAGTGTATTAGTATGTTTTTAATAAAATAGCATACTGCTTACTCTATACCATTTAGTATAAAATGTATACTGCATGTACTGTATATGTATCATACTACTGTTTTAAATAATTTGCATTGTATAATACATACTACATGACTTACTACTTGCTGAATATTGAGCAGTATTGGTGTTGTTATTGTTAAAAAATATATTATTTTCCAATATTTGTGGGTGAACCAAAACTAAAAAGCTGAAATATATATATAATAATATATATAATATAAATATATATATATATAATAAAATAAAATAAACTGTAATAGATACAGGTGCTCTGTTCCAAATGCTAGTGAGCTGAATTGGTTAGAAAACATTTTAGGCGACACAAAAGTTGTTACAGAAGTTACGCTAACGTTTGGGGTCCGTACAATTTTTATATTTTTTAATTAATGCTTTTATTCTGCAAGGGTGCATAAATTGATCAAAAGTGACAGTAACGATCTTCAACATGGTTAATAATAATAAATGTCTCTTAAGCAGCAAATCAGCATATCTGAATGATTTCTGAAGGATCATGTGACACTGAAGACTGGAGTAATGATGCTGAAAATTCAGCTTTGCATCACAGGAATAAATTACATTTTACAATATATTCAAATAAAAAATAGTTATTTTAAATTGTAATAATATTTCACAATATTACTGTTTTTATGGTATTTTTGATTAAATATATGCAGCCTTGATAAGTATAATAGACTTATTTCAAAAGCATTTTTTGAATGTGTATCATTATGCTGCCTTTTAAGATACCTAGTTATGGGTATAATTTTAAGGCATCAAAAGTGTCCTTCATAGATAAATATAAGAAATATTATACTTATTTAATACTATTTAATTATCCAATGTTTGGTTGGTACATATTTAGTATACTTATTAGAGTATACACCTTTAGCAACATGAAAACATCAAACTCTATTAGAATCAGTTGTAAGTTCTTAATAAAAAGTAAATAATAAGCCATTGGAAAGACAGAAAATCCCTCCTCAAACTTCTCTTTGATACAATGTTCTATCGTCGGCCTGTTTTAATGTGCGATACAGTCAGTTGAACATCAAGCTTTTGTAATCATGCGAGGCACTGACCTTAGCGTGGCCGCACTGAATGCTGGGTAATGAAATGCCATCAGGCTGAGTGGGTTGACGGCTCTTGCGTGAGGAAAAAGTCATTATTCTGGTTTGGGTGGTGAAAGCTGTTTTCTGATTGAATCGGTTCAAGTTAATAAGTTAATTCATGCCTGGAACATATTGGCTTTAAAAAATTACTTTTACAGCAATTTAAGAACCTGTTATTACGAAAAATACACTGCAGCATACAACAGATCATGAAATACTGTTAAATAGATGGTCTAGTACGATTACATTTTTTTTGCTTGAAGGACTTTATTTATTAAAGCCTATTTAAATTGCTATCAGTAAACGTTTTAGCAGTTTTGCATTAGTTGCTCAAAATGAAGTACAGTACATGTAGTAAAAATCTTCGCTGCCACAGATGATTAGTGCACAGATGTTCATTAATTCTCTCTTTTCTTTGTTCCAGACTATAGAAACGGCAGGGACCTCCAGAGCTCCACCCTCTCTGTGCCTGAGCAGGTCTTATCGTCCAATCACTGCTCTCGGTCAGCCGACATCAACCGAGCGCGCTCACGGTCTCCCAGCATGCCCCCTACTCAGAGGTAAGACAGATCTCTCTTCTCCTGTCTTAACCTTTTCTCTTCATAGTCATTTGAACCACAGTTTAAGGGTGTTGGTTTATCACTAACATTTGATTCAAGAACTCCACAACACACAAGATCTAGTGTAACAACAGTGTGTGAGTGTCACTGAATCAGCAACGATCATGCACCTCTCAAACTGTGTTTTTGAGTCACAAAGCCCTATCTAAATAATTGTTTTGCAAAAAGTTAATTAGGTTTTTAAATTTTTTTTGTCATTTTATTTATTTTTTTAGTAAGCCAGCAAGCATTGGCTTTATTGTTGATATTATTTTACATTTTGTAGCTTATAATGTTAGACAAGTTTGTTTGTTTGTTTATTATTAGAGATCGACCGATATATCGATTTACCGATATTTCTCCCGATATTTAAGCATGTTACCATAATCGGATATCGGTTTTGTAATATCGGATTCACCGATAAACGCCGCCATCTTGTGGGTGGTATCGGTTATAAAAAAATCAATATCGGTCGATCACTATTTATTATTATATTATTATTATATCTAATATTATTTATTTATATTATTTTTATTTATTATTATTATTGATATAGTAATTTTATTTATTTATTTATTGTGAAAAATTATTTAGGCAAGCAAACGTTGGAATAAAATAGAACTAGGTTTTTGCTTTAAAGGTTTTATTTTGTAGCCGTTTTTCATCTTGAAGTGCACTTATAATGGTATTTATTTACATTTTATAAATTTTTTCTATTGTTATTTGTATAGCATTTTTATTTATTTATTGTTTGTTGTTACTAATATAATTTATTTGTTTATATTATTTTTTTATTTATTGTTATTATTATTGATTATATTAAATTTATTCATTTACTCATTTATTGTGAAAAGTTATTTAGTGTTTCTTAATAAGCAAGCAAGCATTGGAATAAAAATAGAACTAGATTTTTGCTTTAAAGGGGCTATATTTTGTAGCAGTTTTTCATCCTGAAGGGCACTTTGTTATTTATTTATTTGATTATTTCTACAGCATAGTTTAAATTAAGTGCAAGGAAATCCTGTTTTCTAGAGCCCCTTTAATGGCATTATCAGAACAGTGTTTTAAAATTATCTTTGTTCTTGATACAGTTAGACGTGCGTGTGTTGGTGTCATTGAACAGTAATCACATTTCTTCCACATAAAGTTTGGGTTCATCCCATCATCATCAGTTTCAATGAAAACATGATCATCTCTCTTCCCTCAAATCTTTTCATCTCTCTTCCCGAAAATCCAAGTAAATTCTCTCCATCTGCCTGCAGTCATTTTCTCACCTTACCTCGAACCCGACACAGTCAGCCTCATGACAGTCAGCTGGAGGAACTCAGGTAGAGCCATTGCTGCCTGTGTCTGTCCCCATTAACCTCCCAGCTAAGAGCCGCCACTAACACATCAGCGTTTCTCAAACCCTCACTTCCTCTGAACTTTAACGAATCCAGGTTTTCAGTATAACTTGTTCATAATCGTGACGTGATAAGATGCCACCAGTTTGATACTATTTTGTAGTGTAGTTGAAAACCTGTATTCATGAGGGTCTCTGACATTGAGAATTTTCACAACCTCATGTATGACAGTGACTGCATCCTGTATGTCCTAGTATAACTGTATAATACAAGATTCTTAAAGGTGCACTTTTCCAAGTAATTTTTTGTAGTTTGTTATTTGACAGTGGTCTCAGACACTTGTGGATACAGCAACATGCAAAAGCAAATATTCTTGGTTTGACGATGCCACTACAAAATTTCAGACATATTTTTCACTCTTAATTGTTCATTTATTCCAAAACTTAATTTCTCCAAACTGTTTGCATCATGAAAAGCACTCTTCACAGGTGACTCAACCCATAATTTATTTCAATATTTTAAATTTAAATAGTTTTTAATAAATTTTTTTCAGTATTGAATGAATTATATTTGTAATTGAAAATAAAATTACTATAGCTTAAAGCACAAAAATAAGCAAAATATTTATTTCAGAAATAATTTCCCCAAAGCTACAGAAGTAATAAAAAAAGTGTAAAAAAATAAATGTTGTTGTTATTATTTTCTAAATTAACATCCCATATGAATTCTCCCCTTCATGTTAGTTAAGGTTTTTATTTGAATTATTACTTTTCATTATTAAAACAATTTTAATTGTACATTTTTAAAAACTATTTTCTAGATGAATTTCATCATATTCAATGAACTGTAATGCAGAAAGTGTGAACTTTTTAATAATGTAAAAATGATGTTGTGCACATGAAATCAACAGCTCACCAGTGGCTCATAAATGTCGACATGAGGTTGAATGAACCAAAACCTAGGAAATAAAGATAAACAAAGAAAACTAGCTCAAATAGGAGCACATGCACTTCCTCATCCCTCTGTCCTAATGTACACCGTCCTTGCAAATGTATATATTTCCCCCCAAAAAGTTGGAAAATATATACACCATTAAACCTAACATGCTTTTGTCTTTGTAAGAATGGTGAGCTACTGTATGCCTTTAATTCATTTCTAAAGCATCATTGTCATTTTCTCATAAGATCATCATAAAGAATCTGAGCGCTCATTTTTACAGCTAGCTCAGGTTTTGTTTTAATAAACTGTGAGAGATGATGTAAAACAGACATAAATACAGTACTTCACTACCTTGAGCTTATTAATGGGATCGTAGTTGCGCTTAAACTTGGTGTTTTGTGTGAAAAGTTGTCCAGCATTTGTTATTCACTAGCAATGTACATTAATCTGATGTTTTTAATGTACATTTATAAAACATTTTAACAAAGATATGTTGTGTGATTAAAGGTATAGTTCACCCAAAAATGAAAATTTGCTGAAAATGTACTCACCCTCAAGGCTATCCAAGATGTAGATGAGTTTGTTTCCAGTACTTCACTACCTTGAGCTTATTAATGGGATCGTAGTTGCGCTTAAACTTGGTGTTTTGTGTGAAAAGTTGTCCAGCATTTGTTATTCACTAGCAATGTACATTAGTCTGATGTTTGTATGTACATTTATAAAACATTTTAACAAAGATATGTTGTGTGATTAAAGGTATAGTTCACCCAAAAATGAAAATTTGCTGAAAATGTACTCACCCTCAAGGCTATCCAAGATGTAGATGAGTTTGTTTCTTCATCGGAACAGATTTGGAGATATTGACATTTTCGATCACTTACTCACCAGTGGTTCCTCTGCAGTGAATGGGTGCCGTCAGAAAGAGAGTCCAAACAGCTGATAAAAAAAACATTCACTGGTGAGCAAGTGATCTAAAGAAGCAAGACACAAACTCATCTACATCTTGGGTGGCCTGAGAGTGAATTTTCATTTTTGTGTGAATTATTCCTTTAAACCCTGATAAAGTTGAGGCCGTGTGTAATGCACACTCTGGGGGTTTATGTGAGTCAGTTCCAAATATCTGCATCTTTTTGGCAGCTGTGGCAATAGTGTGTGTTCCATCAATCAGCGGGTGGTGGTCAGGTTACCTCGTCCCACTAGGATGGCCTGTCATAGAGGCGTACAGTGACATGGAGGGGTACCGGTGCTGCAGTCTATTTGGGTCAGCCATTTATGGCCTGTCTAAAATGTCGACAGCCTTTTTGTTTCAGGATGAAGACATTATATGGGATGATATCCAACACCGAGAGCATCCCTGCTGCACTGTCATGAGCTGGGCCAATTTCACTACCGAACAATCCTACATCTATAGCAAAGTCTATTTTTTACAAAATTTTGTAAGATGATAAGAACGTTTATGCCCAAATCAAGAAACATTTTGTCCCAAAACAAGCAAAACATTGAAGTTATATTGTTATATTTAAATATATGATAAATGATATTATAATTAAAGTTTCCCAGCTGAATTTGGCTGTTATTCTTTGAACTTTGGAGGTACGCAAATAGTTTAGCAGGGTTTAAATTGTTGTAATACTAATAATATGTTTTGAATTAAAATAAAAGAGCTTGTGCAGCTTGTCATGTCTTCAACCCATTCCCTGATCTTTCCTTTAGGGATCCTAAGGAGTTGTTGAAATTGTTAAAGCTGTCTGTCATTTAACATTTTTAATTTGAGTAAATATAAATATTATTTAAAAAATATATATTCTTAAAAATCTTTCTTTTTTTAAACCGTAAACGGATATTTTATTCATTTTTTTATTTTTGTATTATTTATTTATTTTTTGTATTATTTACCAGCCCTTTTTTTTACTACACAGTGTCACTTTATTTATCTCAGTAATTAATACATCAGTGTTCTGATGCTGGACAACTTTTCATACACTACACATGTCTCTGTGTGGTCTTGTGCATTACTGTAAGTTATACTGTGCCAAATGTTTTTAACAGTGTTGGTTCCAGAAGTACTTTTCCCATTCATTTTCTCCATAGGGATGTTTAAAAAAAAAAAAAAAAAAAAATCATCAATAATTGATAAGGAGGTCGGATACTTGAGATGCTTATTGAAATATGAAGTCTTGATTTCTGAGAAATTGAACACAATTAGGTGAGTTTATGCAAATTCTCACTTCTTTTTGATCAATTTCTCACAAAACAAGAATTTGTAATTTTGCTTCTCAAGTAAATGTATTTTGATTTAAAAATCTTTAGACATTTACACTGGAAAACAAGAAAAAAATACAGAGGGTGAACATCACTTTTTTTTTTTTTTGTAAAATACATTAAAAAGTAATGGAGATCTGTTAGAAGTTGTATTTTTGAACTTTGAAGTGTTTCTAATACAAGACATTTCAAATTATTCCTTAAATATTCTATATTTGGTCTTACAAAGGTCTTCAAAAGTATTCAATTTACCTTCATAAAACATGCAGAAACCAGAATCTATCTCTGAAAATCTTTTTCTCTCTGAATAAAATGGATGGGATTTTTCCTTCAGTAAAAATGTGGGAATAATCTGAGAGTAATCTTTCCTTCCACAGTTTTTAATAATAATTTGTTTATTCATTTAATCTATTTCTAGTTTATTTGTATGCTTCTGTGATTTGAGTTTTGTAAAATTTGTGATTTTGGATTTCATTGTCCTAATCTGAATTTAATGAGACTGTTAATGTATCTTTCAGTCTTATAAAATAAGCAGATTAAAGTATGTCACTGTACAGAACCGCTGGGTTCCACTTATACATTGGTTGCTTCCAAGTGCCAAATATGAGACAACTTTACCACGACCTGTTGTGCACCTGACCTCAGTGCAGACCTCCCGACAGCCCGACCCAACCGACCTCACCCACACTAAACATCGCCCTGTTTCCCACAATCACGTTTCTCCAGGAATTACGGAGCTCCAGACAGGCACGAGAATCACCACAGGTCCCGTTCTGCAGACCAGCGGTCCGTGCTGGAGCGGCCCATGTACAGTCGCTCTCGCTCCACAGAGCGGCCACCCGACGGCCCCCACATGAGATCATCGATGCCCTCCCTGCCGTCAGGACACTCCGCGCCACCCTCCCCTGCCTTATCGAGGTGACCCAGATCAAAGCAGCCGCTCACCCCGCAAAACAGCCCTGACTAATCTAACAAAACATCCTTCATGTGCTAGCAAAGATCCTCTGCATCCAATCAACCAACCCTTTGATTTTTTTTTGTCCTCTCTGCAGCAGTGCTGTTATATCTGCTCCATCTCATATTTGTTGATGCACCAGATACTGTTCATTTCTTTTTAATGATTTGTTTAGTAGCAAATTACACCAGTTATATTTTCAGTGAGTGGCGTGGGATCTCCATTGGTTGTTATCCCTGTATTGTGATATTTAACTCATTTGTTTTTCCCACGTTTGGTTCTTTTTGTCTCGAATCCTAATATGTTTTGTTTGGTTTTGGTGATGGCGGAGAAAAACGCACACTTCTCTTGCAGCATCACTGTGGAAGACTCACTTTCATGTGCCAAAGCATCAAGCATTTTGTCAAATGTAGTAAATGTTCATACAGTACTACTGAATATTTGAGCATATAAACTAAATCTAATGTTTGGAATAAAATGGCAGACTAGTTGGTCTATTTTTTAAAGAAATTAATAGTTTTATTTAGCAAGGATGAATTAAATTGATCAAAAAATATTATCACATAAAGGTAAAAAAAACAAAAAAACAAGAGACAGTAGAGACATTTATAATATTACAAACAATTTCTATTTCAAATAAATGCTGTCCTTTTGAATTTTCTATTCATCAAAAATCCTGCAAAAACTAATAAGTTAACATTAGAATGATTTGTGAAGGATCATGTGAGACTGAAGACTGGAGTAATGATGCTGAAAATTCGGCTTTGCATCACAGGAATACATTTCATTTTAAAATGTGTTAAAATAGAAAACATTTTAAATTGTAGTAATAATTCACAATATTTTACTGTATTTTTTTTTTTATCAAAATACACATAACCTTGGTGAGCATGAGAGACTAATATATATATATATATATAAAAAACTTACCTACCCCAAATGTTTGAATGGTAGTGTAAATATTATTATTAATAAGTTATTTATTATTATACTGCATATCTTATCATTTAAGGATAATTTAAGGCTATAGAAATTGGCACGATGATTAAAACAGACCAACTAACAGACATCTATATTAATACATTTACCATATAAATATATATATATATATATAATGGTACTACCGTCATGATTATACAAATAATTTTGTTTTACTTTATACAAAATGCTGATGGAAAACCATGATGTTTGTTTTATTATTGTTATTTTAATCCTCAGCATCATTCCAATGGATGTGCATGATTTTACAGCATATGTATATGTGAAATATCATATATATGACTGACTCAACAACTCCTTTTCAGCACATGCTTTTTAACTGTTAATTTCCCTGTTTTTAAAATGTATAGTAGTTACATAAGTTATAGCAACTTCGTTTTCATTTGCTGATTCTTCATAGAGCAACTCTGAAATCGTGTCATGCCTTTTTGTTTAATGTCCTATTATAATACTTTGTTTTAATTGGCAGTTTCTTGTCAATGTTCAGGGTAATGCCTTGTGCTATAGCATTAAGGTACATGCACATAACAACGGTAATGATGGTGATTATTTTTGTCTACTAGGGCGCATCCTCGTGGTGGATCGGTTCAGACCAGCCCCACCGGGACCCCCGTGAACAGCAGGAGAGGACGACAGCTCCCACAACTACCTCCAAAAGGGACGCTGGAAAGAAGTACGTTTGCATTTTTGTGCAGCTTCTTTTTGTCTCCATGTTGGCTCTTGCTCATGCGGAGATGTTTATTTGAGAGATGGGACTGCAGAACTGACTCGGCAAAAGTTGTGGTTTGCTATAGATACAGTCAGCAATGCATCAAATCCCAGTTACAGTAGTTACCTGCTCATTTTAATTGGGGACATGAAGAATTTGACTGTTTTTAGAAAGAAAAACTTGCCTAAAAAGCATTAAAGGGGTCCTATGCTCTTTTACAAAGTCTTGATTTTGTTTTGGGGGTGTACTAGAACAGGCTCTCATAATTTTCTGTTGAAATAAGAATTTGAGCAGGAAAAATATACTTTTATAATTAGAAAATGCCAACATTTTTACAACTTTTACAAAAAGGTACAGTTGTTAACATCAGTTAACTACGTTAGTTAACATGAAATAATGAAAAATACTTCCAAAGCATCTTAGTTAATGTTATTTTTTAACATATACTTATACTGTATATCATTAAAATCAAAAGTTTATATCTCTTAATATTATTTAATGGACCTGAGCTAACATGAACTAACAACAGTTGTATCTTTTATGAACTAAGATTAATAAATACTTTAAGAAATTACCATGGTCAGTTACTGTTAGTTAACTAACAGTAACTAATGGGACCTTATTGTAAAGTGTTACTTATAAAATTATGCTAAAATATTATTTTGTCAACCGTTTTTACAACTAGTTACAAAAATAAATAAAAATCATATAAAAATCAAATAACATACAATAAATATGAAATTTTGAACTAGAAAACAAAATTTTTATTTTTTTGTTTCTTTGAAAAAAGATTGCTCCAGTAATCTCTGTGTTCATGTACCACTTCAACAGACATCGACTTAAAGCCCCAAAAAATAATAAATTCAATTTTGATTTAGTTTTTGCATGGAAAATCCAGTTTTGTTCTTTCTAAAAAATAGCAAAATTTTTTGAATCGTTGTCTACATTTAAATTAATGGGTAACAATGGTAACAGAGTTGGTTTTCCCCCCCCATGGGAGGGCGGAGCCTCTTTGTGTCAAGTAGAAGACAAGAGCGCTTGTCATTTCAGTAAATAAACCAAACTAAAAAAAGTGTCTTTAGTGTGAATTGTTGTCATTTTATAGGGATTGTTATGCATTATCACAACACTGCACTGTTCCATTACCCCATTGGCTGAATATGACACAGTTTGTGCACCAGTCACTTCCTGTTGTTATATTTGAGTGCGGGCGACACACATGATCATGCAAATGACATGCGTGGTTTAGTTGCATGTGCGCTCTGATGTTTCCTTCTTTCATTCCTCTCTCAGAAGACGGAGGTGAAGAACTTGAGCCTTCTCCAGGTGTGTAACACATCTGTGAAGGTTTAATCTGTCAGAAGGAGCTTCTGATTGAATTGAACCTTTCTGCAATGGTCTTGAGCTGGTGTTTCCTCTATAGACGGCTCTAGAATTAGATCATAGAGCTTTTTGGAAGTCAGATTTGCTGAATTCCCTCTTCATTTCGGACCCATCAAATGCTGCGTCAGAGCTTTCTTTGAGAGGTTATGAAGCCAGGTCCATTGCAAACTCTGTTTATATGTGAACGTAGACAGGTAGTTTTAGTTTTTTCCGTTGTCTTCCTGTAACAGTGATTGTGTAATGTTGTGATAAAAGATTTTCCAAATGTATTTTTGTTTCCCCAGTGACCTTTGTGTTGTTTTAGAAGCAGTCACAGAGATTTCTGTCTTGCAGTCATTGGTTGATTTTACAGATGTGTTGTTCCATTTTGCTAACAATGTTTTGCATTATTGCTCAAATGGTGTTTTTGCAAAATTTTATTCATACGGAGGTCTCAGTTAAGAATCGTTTTTCTCTCTGATTCTTTCGGAGAAATACAAAAAGATGCAGCTAAGACCATCTTTGACATGCAGTAAGAGTATAGAGCAATAAAATGAATGTGGATAGTGTAGACAGTTTGAGACTGTAAACTTTTGAAAAGTTTAGAGGAGACACGTGTTAGAATGTTTTTTGGTTTTTTTTTCATTTCAGAAAAAAAAAATCGGAGAATCATTAATTTTCAGAAAAAAAAAGCTTGTATATAATTTCATTTATGTTTATAGTTTTTTTTTTAGTTTTTTTACTCTGTTACTCCTAATAGATAGATCGATAGACAGACAGACAGTCTGGCAGCTTCATATAAGTCGTGTCTTATGCTCATCAAGGAGGCATTTAATTAATAAAAAATACAGCAATTATTTTTATTATTACAATTTAATATATCTTTTTTTATATATTTTAATATGCAATTGCAAAACAGACATTTCAGGAAACATTTCTTATCAGTATCAATGTCAAAAACAGTGCAGTTTATTATTTTTGTGGAAACTGTGATTCATTTTTTTTCAGGATACTTTGAATAGAAAGTTCACAAGAACATTTATTTGAAATAGAAATCTTTTGTAGCATTATAAAAGTCTTTACTCTCACTTATCAATTTAATGCATCCTTCATGAATAGAAGTATACATTTCTTAAAATGAATACAATAAAATTACTTTCTGACTTCAACTGAGTTATATATGAACTGACCCCAAAAGGCACTGTGTATCATGAGACCTGGGTTCTGGTTTGTGGTCAGTTCACTTCATACATAACTTCAGGTTTACATCAGGTTTAGGTTTGTTAATGAAAAATTAGCTGTAGACACACGCACGCACACACAAACAGGCACGCTTTCCAACCGATCACACTTCCTCCACTCCCATCTGCCACATCCGTCGTATTTGTCACAAGATCTGGTCTGTTGGGAGTGTGTGTGCGTCTGCCTCTTTCCCAGCATCCATCTCTGCTTTCTGTCCAACTGGTATTTACTCTACATCAGCTGTTTGAAATACTCTCATCTTTTTTTCATATGGCACTCAAAATGAGTGTACAGGAGGATTTGACTAGTATTTTGTGCATTTGTGGGAATTCTTGCAATGTTTTTACTCCATTGCTCCTGTTGTTGTGTTAAAGCTTGTGAAATGAGGCCAAACGGCCCTGTGGTCAACGGCAGGAAAGGCAAGTCTCTCCAGGCGTGTGTTTGCAGTGTAGCTTTACAATATTGTCTTTTCTAAGAGGATGTTTCCTCACTTTAAGGACTGGGCAATATATCCAAAAAATCACAATGTATTAATTTTAAAATCTGAACATGAAATCAAACTTGACCATATTACCATATTTTCTTTCTTAATTTGCAATTCAAGTCTTAGTGCATACCAAAAAAAAACAAAAAATGTAGGGTTAGAGTTGCTAAGTTTGATTAATTTCTGTTATTCCGTTTATAGCTAAGCTGTTTATTAGTAGGCCTATGTGTTTTTATATTGGCACATATGAATTGCAAATGTTTAATAATTGTTCCTTGTGTTAATTTAGGGAGATTTTTACTTATTGCCCAGTCCTTACATCTTTAAAATGCATTTTCTTTGCTCAGAAATGTTGATGAAGGATTGATCTTGCATGAGTTCTGCATGGATGAGTCGGTTTCTAGGTTTTTCTCTGTCTGTTTCTAGGTCAGTCTCTCCCTCTTCACGTCTCTCATATATCTTTCTCTCTTGTGTGGGTTGTCAGTGTTTTAATGCATTTTGCTATGAATAATGAGGGACATTTAGAGAGATTGTGTTGAATTAAATGGATCTGGATTGTTTCTGGATAAATGTTGTGCGCTATAGCTAGTGACTCCAACTCTAAATACAGCCAGATAGATATTCAGCTTATTTAAAAGACTGTTCTGTTTAAAGTCATTTTAAGATGTTGCTATACTCATGCTACAGAGTGAAATTTAGATGTTATAGAATTTCATATTTTGATATAAGTGTAAATCAGTGGTTCTGCAGACTGAATTGATTAGTAGGATGCAGTTACATGGTTTAACCAGCAGATGACGCTCAATCATGTGTAGAAAGGAGCTGTTCACTGCTTTAGTGCTGAATTATCACCAGAATTACTCCGTCTACCTCTTCAACCTTTTGATTTATTTTATTTTACAAAGCCAGCTTAATATACTGTTTTTGCAGAAACTAAATACAGAAGAGTAACGTCCAGAGACTGTATTTCAGAAACAAACACTGATGAATGAAATATGTAGTGGATTCAAAAAGTATTTGAATATCTAAGCCAGTCTGGATGTATTGCATTAGATACAAAATATCAAACCAAATGGCATTTAAAAAAAAAAAAGAAATGGCACAAGCACAGTTTTGATGTGAAACTAAAGGAAGTTTGGCCACTGTACCTGCACAAAAATGAGGGAATTACAATCTCTCAGTTTCTCTGACACACATCGAGCCGTATGTTAACGCTGCCTGTGTCTCTCTGTCAATGGCCTGCATGATAAGAGGTGAAATGGGAGGACCAGCAGAGCTCAGTGGTCAGTGCTGGTCACTCGTCTAACGGCCTTCAGGAGGAGACGCACGTGACTGCTCAGACAGGTTTGACCTCTGACCTCTCTGATCTTGACCCTGTCTGCTCTTTCCGCTCTTCCTCTGAATGATTTTGAACTCTGGCTTCAAGCTCTAAATCTCTGGATGAATAAGTGCAATCAATACAGTCAGGTGGAGTAAATGAGGAAGGTGAAAGTCAGTCAGCTGGTCAATAGACAATCTGGCACAAGGTTTTCTATACAGACGGTCATGGACTGACACTGCTGTGTATTTATTTGAATTATTAGGTTTTTCGCCACCCATCTATTATTGTAATATCAACTATTTTCGATAAACCCACCCGTAAATTATACATTAAAGAAAACACACTGTTTGGTTGCTTTTACATCTAAAACCAAATTAGTTATAAAATAAAGATCATCTATAATTTTAGTCTAGATAAATAAATCACAGTAGTTTAGCTCTATTATCTTTTCCTTCAAGAAACATCATAAATGCAATTTATTGATTAGTTATTTTTTAGTAAAAAAAAAAAAATATGTATTACCATTCAAACAGTTGAGGTTGTTTTGAAAGATTTTTTTGGTCTTTTATGTATTAAATAAATAATTTATAAAATGTTTAATTTATACAATTAAAAAGAAACTTTCTATTTTAATATATTTAAAAATTGTAATATATTTTATTTGAAATAGAATTATTTTTGTAACAATGTAAAAGTCTTTACTGTCACTTTTGATGTCTGCTCTTTCCGCTCTTCCTCTGAATGATTTTGAACTCTGGCTTCAAGCTCTAAATCTCTGGATGAATAAGTGCAATCAATACAGTCAGGTGGAGTAAATGAGGAAGGTGAAAGTCAGTCAGCTGGTCAATAGACAATCTGGCACAAGGTTTTCTATACAGACGGTCATGGACTGACACTGCTGTGTATTTATTTGAATTATTAGGTTTTTCGCCACCCATCTATTATTGTAATATCAACTATTTTCGATAAACCCACCCGTAAATTATACATTAAAGAAAACACACTGTTTGGTTGCTTTTACATCTAAAACCAAATTAGTTATAAAATAAAGATCATCTATAATTTTAGTCTAGATAAATAAATCACAGTAGTTTAGCTCTATTATCTTTTCCTTCAAGAAACATCATAAATGCAATTTATTGATTAGTTATTTTTTAGTAAAAAAAAAAAAATATGTATTACCATTCAAACAGTTGAGGTTGTTTTGAAAGATTTTTTTGGTCTTTTATGTATTAAATAAATAATTTATAAAATGTTTAATTTATACAATTAAAAAGAAACTTTCTATTTTAATATATTTAAAAATTGTAATATATTTTATTTGAAATAGAATTATTTTTGTAACAATGTAAAAGTCTTTACTGTCACTTTTGATCAATTTAATGAATCCTTGCTGAATAAAAGTATCAATTTCTTAAAAAAAAATAAATAAAATGAAATGGTAGTGTATGTTCCAAAAAAAAAATCTAAAAAAAACTTTCTTAAAATGCTGGAGATGTGCATTAAATTAGTGTGAATTTTATGTTTCTTTTGCTCTGAAATTTTTTTTTTTTTTCTTTTTTGAAAGATGATATGAAAGAAATGTGCACTGCATCACTGTATTTAATGTATTACTGAGCTAAATGCAAATGAGACGAGCATCGTCGGTGGCAAAGCAGGACAGCGTTTGTCTTGCTCTCAGGATCTCGGTCCAGAATAGCTTTCTGATAAGATGGTTGTGTGTGTGTTGGGGGGTTAATTTAATGAATCCTTGCTGAATAAAAGTATCAATTTCTTAAAAAAAAATAAATAAAATGAAATGGTAGTGTATGTTCCAAAAAAAAAATCTAAAAAAAACTTTCTTAAAATGCTGGAGATGTGCATTAAATTAGTGTGAATTTTATGTTTCTTTTGCTCTGAAATTTTTTTTTATTTTCT